AAAAGAAGGGTTGTGTCTTCTTATCCTAATATTGTGTCTCAGGACAAAAGAAATACTTTCTGATGTAACAGGTCCTTGTGATAGAAGGGTTAAAAACTAGTGTTCTGCTGTCTCTCTGCAATTTATGTTCTTTGCCCTGAACTGGTAATTTCCACTGATAGTTCTTCAGAAATAAACCCTTTTAGTTTTGTTTTCTGTATAGTCCTAAGACACGGTAGTAGTTTGAGAGTGCATGATTAGTACTTTAAAGGAATCCTTCCGTGTTGAAAAACAAGTTCTTTAGTTACCGTAAATACAGCTGAATGGGAGGAATAACTGATAAACTAACAAAGTATGACAGTACCTAAAATAACTTTTTTGTAGTCAAGAATGTAGCATTCAAAGTGTGATACTAAAAGACATTTCAGGGCTAAAAACATGTTCTGTTCACAGGGCATTAATTGTATTTCCAGTTCTTCTTAGCAGCAAGAGCTTTATATTTCAACACAGCTAAATTTTCAGGTCAGAGGAGGAGCACAGTCCAATTTGTCCTGTAAGTTGTACATCTGGGGGAGGCAGAGAAGTTCTTCTTTAGCGGGTGACTTCATTTTAAAATTCCTCTGATTTGAAGATGTTCACAGGCTTTGTTTTGAGATTTTTAGATAAGCCCAGAAGTAATAAGCAGTGAAGGGTATAATGATCATGATAAATGTGTGATAAATACAGTTTGTCATATATATCTTTTACATAGACTTTATCACCAAGTGTGTTGCGCTTTTGCATGTAAGTGTATATTATGTTTAAAAAGTGTGTGTATGTGTGTGTTGCTTAGGGATTCTTCTGGATGAAAGTTGCTTATGTAAGTGTAAATCACTGTTTTCTTTGCTGATTTTATAGGAGTAAATCCTTCCATTATTTCCTGGCTATGCAGACCTTATGACACAGTATGTCCTGTGCTGTTATATGTGTGAGAAGGCTTTTTACGGGGAGCAATCAGGCTGGACCCCAATCTCCAGTGCAGTGTTCTTTTTTTCTAATTAAATTGTCACTGGAAGGAGTATCTGGAACAGCAGTTTTCATTTTCAATCGAGGAAAAAACATTATGAGTCTTTGTCATTTGATTAAAAGTTACTTAACCTTTAAATTGCTACAGATGTAAAGATAGCTCTGAGTTTCCAATGTAATCGCCTCCAAGTTAAAATCAGGAAAATCTTTGTGTAATGAAACCCATATGTCATTGTGAAAGGATGCAAAGCACTGGCAGAGTGGGCTCCTCTAGCAGGAGATTCTGCACCCAATCTTGTTAACCAGGACTGCTTTTGGTAATCCCTCATCTCCTGACTTGAAGGAAATCAATCTGTACTACTGAGTCTTTTCAACCAGCAACCACAAAATTTACTGTGGAGAGGCAGCTTGGGGACAATTGTAGTAGAAAAGGAGCCCCAGGAAACAAGGCTAAATGCGGGATTGAGGGATTGAAGTTCTAAAGAGGAGATTATATTAAACCTTATTCTGCTCCCCTATCAAGTAGAAATCTCCCCTTCTCCTTTCAGCCCCAGCCTTTCCTACGCAATACCTGTTCTTGAGATCTGCTTGGCAGATCTTGCCAGGCAGGAAACTTAATTCGTACAGTACAGCATTCTCTGTTAATTATAATAGCCTGATACCATTTTTCAGTGCATTTCTCTGAAAGAGTCTATTCAAGCACTCAACTTCCATTCTAACCAGTGCTGATAACATTTTAAAGTGTTTTTTCTATGGTCTTCAGTATCCTCTTCCTCCTCCCTAGTAGGTGAGATTAATTTGTATCCAAGCTATTGCGATCGTATCCATTGTTGATTTTTCTATTGTAGTAGATGCACAGCGTAGGCAAGGTTGTAAATCGTGACTTGACATGGAGATTCATGTTTCTGTTTCATGCGGCACAGCCTCTGTAGTGTCTGCTGGTACAATGAAACCTGCATTTAAGCCCTCTCTTCACTTGAAGTCTGTGGTTTAAGCAACCATTTTAAAGAAAAAATCCCTAAGGTTTTCACTACAGTTTTGTCCAACCTTTTAATTAAAAAATCCACCCCTATCTACTACACAACTGGCTTCTGCTTGTCCCTTGGGTAGTTGCGTAAGGCGGGTTTTACCGTCTCTCTTAGACTGCAATCATATTTAGAATGTGGGTGATGGTTTCTTCATTCACAAGCTCTTCCCTCACTCCAGCAAGCTCCAAAAGGCCCCATTGGAAATGATATTCCCATTATTAAGAATTCATTTATCAGAAGCAATACTGAGCAGAGGAGTCAGTTTAATATTAGAGGCTTTTCTGTGGAAAACCCAAGCTCAAATCATACTCCAGTGCAGATTAAAGAGAACAAAGGGGAAGGAATAGCCAAGATGTTTGAAGGCAGTACCATGTAATATGTATTTGGCCTGTGTTTACCAGGAATACATTGAACTGTGGTTCTTAGGCAGATAAGAGAAGCAGCTGAAGCAGGGAAAACAAGATTGTTAGTGTTTGTGGAAACTTGCCGTTAGTTTGGCTGTGATTTTTTTTTTGTGATATGAGGATGTTATTTCCTGGCCATTTTCATACATGTACAAAGATGTAAGGTCCTTTCTTTCAGTTTGGCGTCATATCTTTAAAAATAAAGCCCCGATGCAAGCCTGAGTATGTGAGGAGAAGAGGAATACAGAATAGCAGAAGGCTGTCTCCTGCTCCTAATGGGATTTTGTAGCAGCATGTGCGAGTTTGTTTCAGAAGTCAGAAATGAACAGATGTTGGTATAAATTACCTCTGTGTCTGATGTCTTGCAAATTAAAAGCGCGGTTGGCATCACTAAACAATTTCACCAGGTTGGGGGGGGAAGCGGGCGGTGATTATTGTAGCAGGTCGGTAAGAATCTTTAAGCTGCAGCAGAACAGGATAGCAAGGATAAAGGAATGAAGAATAAAATGAGAGGTCTGTGAATTAATCAGAAATGTTAACATCTCCGATGACAAGTGAACAGGAGGGCACGTGCTCTGGAGCAACCCCCAACCCACAGTAATTTCACTCAGCGCACAGAAGGAGTCTATGCTCTCTGCCTGATTTATAGGGTGCAGCCCTCTTTGGGGGAACAGAATTGTCATGCATTCGTATATCTCCTATATGGGACTTGCACTCTGGAAAACTTTCTCCTCTATCAACTACAGTTCGGCTTTGTGCTTTCTCCATTAAGAGTGTTTTAAAACCATGCACTGTTGATGGTGCAACGCAGGGAGGTGTCAAAGAACTGGTGCTGAAAATCTATTCCTAGCTGAAGTTTTAAAAACTTGCGTTTTTATTTAATCATGTTCTTTGTGCATAACAACTTAGTTCCTGAGAAAATAACAATCCAGTCTGCCCTTCTGCAGCATCTTCTATCCATGTGTTGCTTCAGCAGCACTTAAAAGATACAAGCTATCTTGTGGATGGGGAAGTAGAGGTACAAATGAGTACTTCTGTGGTAGTGAATCAGAAGCAGAGTTGGGAATGGATCCCAGGTGATATAACTCACAGCTGGAGGCATGAACCAAGCAAATAATGCAGTGATCTGCTTGAATCTGCAGCCGGTCTGAAGCATGTTCCACTCACGGCAGTGGACTTTGCAGCCTATGAGTATCAATATGTACCGGACAGTTCATAATACAACTAATTGTTTAACAGGGATCCTGTTGATGACAATACCTTGTGATACAATTTTGGGTAGACAAATTAGAATGTAATAGTTTAAAGAAGAGGCTTTAAGGCACAAATTCTAACCTTAGGTAAAGAATAACAAAATGTCTTTACCTAAGGGTGCATATTGAGTATTTTAAGCTGAACATTTTTATTAAATTTTAGTTCTCTTCTAACAGATAATCAGTAATGTCAAAAGAAGACCCAACATCAGCCACAAACCCACCTCCAGTTTTTATGCTAATTGTAATTTCTGTTCCTCTGAGTAGAGAGGTCAGGAATTGAATGGATAAAACAGAAGATGAATTCCCATCTCCTTCCAGAGTCTCTCTAGGCTAGGTGTGGGAAACATGCACGTTTTCATCAATCCTGTGAATAAAAACCTCCTTGTTTTGATGCCTGTCCGTCCAGCACAAAGTTTACACCTTTATTTAAAAGAAATGAAGGGAAGCAACGGTGGGAACCTTGTTTTTCTCCAGGACTCAATTGCTAATCGTGTTATCTTTGATGCATTGTATTGTTATTGCAAGACAAAGATAGTATTAGGGCTGCTCTGCCAGCTTGTGAGCTGATGGGCTCACAAGTCAGAAATGTCTTGTGCAGAAAAGTGGCTGTGTAAACCCTGCTGTAATACAGCTACCAGAGATTGATGGTGCCAAGAGTGAGAGAGAGACATATAAACCTTGCCTTGCTGTATTAAACATCGAAGGACTGACAATGCAGAGAGAGAGAGAAGACCAAAGCTCTATAAACTTTACTTTATTACACCATCCATAGTTGAACTGCATTGAAGGAATATAAACCCCATTATATTACAGCATCCAGGGACTGACACTGCTGAGAGAGAGAAAATGCTGTCTAATTTCTGTTGAAGATCATAGCATCCAGGGACCAATAATCCTGAAATGGAGAGAGTTCCATAATCTCTGATGGATTACAACATCCAGGAACAATTGCTCTGAGATAGAGTGATGGAGATCTGGATTACACCATTCAGAGATGGATAGTACAGAGAAAAGGAGGTGCTGCGAGAGCATAACACAGTAGGAATAGAAAGCATAGATTGTATGTAATGAGACAGCCTGTGGGAATTATTGCTGAGTTTAGAAGATTCCAGGCCCTGCCTGCATTTTTACGATGTCAGGAATTCAAGCTGGAATGAAGTTTTACTTATTTTCTACTTTTTTAAAAAAAAAAATCCTTTCACTATTGGTATAAGCACAAATCTAAGTTAATTTCTTATCCTATGGTTAAAATCTGTAAATTATACAATTGTTGGGTTTCTTGGCTTTTTTAACAATATTAATCTCTTTTTCCTCCTTTGTGATTTCAGCTAGAGAAATGACACGAGGGAAATTCCTGAACATCCTGGAAAAACCCAAAAAGTAACTGCCACATCTGGAGTTTGGACCAAAATACCCCAACTAGATCATTTGAACTAGTTGAACCAGATGAACCCCAGAACTTCTAAGAAGTACAAAGCTCTTGCTCTAGATCTTCAGGAGCAAACATCTCTTTTTGCATCCACAGCTCATCTCTTTATGGGGGAGATGTATTGCATACACAGGTCACAAAGACTGCAGTTGGTTGCGTTGGAATTCGGACTTCATCTGACCATAAGATGTCCAACAGGAGGACTCGGCTCTGACATGCTGTGGCAAAGTTACCTGTTTTAATGAGCTATTCAAAGTGAACAGCCATTCAGTTGCTCTCAGTGGCAGCACCTATTTGAAGTACACAGCAGATCTGACGCTGGCCTGTGTGCATCATGAGGCGTTGACCCTTTTGTGTGTCTTTTGTCTTAGATGCATTGATTTCCTATGTGCAACTTCTGTGCTGAAAGATGTGAGCAGAGTTTGGGGTTCGGATTGACCGATAGCACTGGTTCAGGAGCATATGCTTTCAGTGCAGAAGTTGAGTGCAGTCTGTGCGTTAGATTCCAGTTACTCACTGCCTTCAGAGAAGCATGTCTGGTACTCCGAGGAGGACCTCCAGACCTTCGATGTACCAGGAGCTTCATCTCACCGCTAAACGGTTCTCTACTGAAATCAGGACTGACAGACCATAGGGAGTAAGAGGTGTTACTGTATCAAGAAGGAAAACATCCCTACAGACACTTCTGCCAGTACACAAAGAAACAGCTTTGTTAGTCCACTGCAATTCTCTGCTTCTTACAGAGCTAGAAACTGAAGAATGTTATAAAGTTGAAAGGCACTAATATTTTCAGTTAGCCCTCCAGGAAGGGGCAGCAGGATTGTTAGCCACATTGCAAGGATGGTCTGCTTATACAGAATCTTAACACTTCTGAAAATAACATTTTGTGGTACAACCTCAAAATTTTCTTCCCCTACAAACCCACAATTTTTAAGACAGAATTTTCTGTGACCTGGTCTCATTCAGCACACAGTTTTGGGCTTTATTCATCTTACAGTTTAATGTCTTTTCCTTCTGTTAATGCACTTGTGCATGTTCACCCCTGAGAAGAGGTAAGGAGCATGTTCAGACTTTTTATTTTATTTAAGAGAAGAATTTTTAAAATTTCATTCTCTTTCCTTTTCCTAGAAAACAACTTTTTAAGCGTTAGTAAATATGTTCTTTCTAGGTTACAACATAATATTGAAACATTGGATGAAGAGCAGGGTTTTTTCTCCGTTTAGAAATGTTATTTTTAGCATGCAGGCTTTTCAAAACTTGTCATTTCCCAGGCTGCAGTCACATGTGAGAGGAGAAATGACTTGGAAATAGGCTGTCCTTAGAGCATTGCATTTTTCTGTCTTTGCAGAGAGGGGAGACTCTTTTCAGGTGCATGTGCAATAAAGAGGAGGAGATGTTTTTTAATCAAATAGACTTCTCTGAATTTTTACTAAAATGCTGGTGGCCTTTTGGTTTGCAGTCTGTGGTCTGGGTTATTACCAGTCAGAACTAGGCTTGTTTTGGACAGCTCCTGTTAACTTAAGTGTAAGCAGTTAAAACCCACATCCCGGGAAGACCCCTGCACAAATACTGTATATTTAGGAATGTCAGGAGTCAGATTTTAAACGTAACGGATTTATTTTTGAACTTCACAAATGCTGGTGGCCTTTTGGTTTGCAGTCTGTGGTCTGGGTTATTACCAGTCAGAACTAGGCTTGTTTTGGACAGCTCCTGTTAACTTAAGTGTAAGCAGTTAAAACCCACATCCCGGGAAGACCCCTGCACAAATACTGTATATTTAGGAATGTCAGGAGTCAGATTTTAAACGTAACGGATTTATTTTTGAACTTCACA